CACACACACACTCTCTCAACATTGATCACTTATTCCCATCATGCTTTTTTGGGTTTCGTTGTGATAGAATATTGTACTACTAGTACTACTTATGTACAACACTATTCTCATGCAACTGGAGGGTATATATTCGGGTGCTATTTGTTGTTGTGGCTAAGAGTGCATGGGTGCTATTTGTTGTGGCTAAGAGTGCATGTGTGCGGCCAGCTAGTTCCAGCATGCAAGGTGTTACATTTGCTACACTGTGGTCTTACAAGCACAGAGAACTATAATTATGTTCTAACTTTCCTTGATACAACTATGAACCGAAGCACAACTGCTGCAAACATTAACTGCCCATTTAGGCAAGATAGCAACAACTAAAAGAAGTAGAAGAAGTAAGTAAGACTAGCGTCCTTCCAGCTCCAGGACAGTATGAACAGGCAACAACATAAATTTTAACAGCATTGCACCGAACATGCATGTAGCCATGCAGAAATAATTGTACATTTAGTTGTGAATGCAAATCCAAGGCGGAAAGCAGTCAGGCGTAATAGATGCCAGCAATAGAAACCAGATCTGTGACGCATGTCACATGCATTCATGATGATCAATGCATCGTGGTTCACCACCATTGAACACAGTAGTACATGTAAATTACACAGAAATAGGAGATTAAATCTAACATATCTCCCTCGTGAAAGAAAAGTGATAAATATCACATGAGTGAGTAAAAGACGAAGACAACAAGAAGAAAAACATGACAAAAACAATGGCAATTGAATATGAAAACTTGAATATGAAAACTCGGATGGAAGAAAAGGACCAAGGACCTACAAGACGTGCTAGAGCTGATAGCCAGTTTGTTGTAGAACGTCAGTACTGTCGGTCAGTTTGGTGCAATGTTATAATTCTTGTTATTGCATGAGCTGATTGTCAAGTAACTGGTGGTGTTAGTGGACAGTATAGCATAACTTGTACCGTATTTCCGCAAATAAAAGGCCGTCCTCGTATACAACGCCTTCCTCGTATACAAGGCCGGGGCAGGGGGCGATTGAAAAAATAAAAGACCGTCTCCGATTAGAAGACCAAGCCTACTAAATGAGTCTTTGTTCTTGTGTTAAAAATAGAAGACCGTGCTCAAACTGTGTAGAAGAGAATGGAAGAACGGGGGTAAAACTGTGTGGCGAGAAATAGAAGACCGGGGGGTCAAACTGGGTTGAAAGAATAAAAGACCGTCCTCGAATACAAGACCGTCCTCGATTATAAGGCCGGGTTAGGACGAGGTTGAAAAAATAGTAGACCGGCCTACTATTTGTGGAAATACGGTAGTTCTTTGGTCTTTTTTTCTTTACTATGAATATGAAAACAATCACAGTTCGCTCAGTACTTGCACCTTTAACTTCCAGTGGCTCAAGATGATGAACTGCATGCTTGTATACCTTCCCAGCTACTTAAACTTCTACTATCCGAACAGCACCATCCTTACCTGGATAGGTCATAAGCATACGTCCAAGTGGCTAGTGTGCAGTTGCGGTGTGCTTATCCATCACAAGCACGATATCTCCTTAGGGTGATGCTGTTGAAGCAACCACATCACTTGGATGCTTAGCTTCGGAACAATCTCTTTCAGCCAACGTTTCCATACCTGATCTACAATACGTTGCACAAACTCCCAGCGCTTTCTTGGGTGAGCTTGAGTCATTGTAGATGTGTTGGCTTCAGCAGCAACAGTTGCCCTAGCATGGCCAATGAGAAAGTGTTGTGGCAATAGCAGCTAAAGGTCTTCATGCAGCACTAGTTTCATTGCCTTGGCCATTACCTAGAACACACCACCAAAGTGTGGTGCACTTGGTGGCTTGAAGTACCAGGTAATGTCGCGGTATGACCTTTCTGCTGCTAGTCTGAAGTTGTCGAGAAACTTGACAGCTGCTTTTACCTCTTGATCAGCCACACGGAAATTGGTACCGTTGTCCGATTGCATCTCTTGTGGCACACCACGTCGCACGGTGAATCGGGGTCTAAGAGCCAGGAGAAAACCGTCGTTGTCCAGAGATAACCTCGAAATGACAAGCCCTAGTCAGCAGGCATGTAAACACACATACATATCTCTTTGAGTTGTGACCGATCTCGACCCTGGCGTGCATAGAAGGGGATGACATAGCCGACACTAATTATGGCATATGACTGATGTGGTCCAGTTGTCTTGAAGTCAGGAAGTCGTGGCATTGCTGGTGTTGCTGTTTTGATATGGCCCTTGCGGCAAAGAACGCACTTGGCCCGATGCCTCCAGGTGGCCTGTATCACTGGAGAGAAGCCACTCACCCGGCACAAGCCTCCACGAGTGCTGTGTGCTCCTCATCGTGAAGTGATACCTTTCCCAGTGAACGTCAACAGGCGTGTTGATGTGTTCGACGACAAAGCGCAGTGGATCCATGCGTTGAGGGGGCTGGATCACTGGAGAGAAGCCAATCATCTTGCGAGAGCAGTAGCGAGTGCGTGTGCAGTTCAGCTCCTTCTCTGCATGATCAAGTTGCTACAGACCTTGCAAGCTGATTTCATACACCACTGCCACAGGCTATGTCTGTCAGCTAGCTACAGCAACAATATCCTCTTCATGAATGTTCAAAACTATTTTCTTGGGTCAAAATTAGCTCTCTCCACTGTCTACAACACAGCATGATCGCATGTGCATGGACAGGATCCGACTGCGATGCAGCTCTCCTGGAAGGAAGCAAAGTTCTCCTGTCGCCAATGCCATCGCTTGTCAGTGTCACTCAAGAAAAAATAAATTTCAATTTCAGAAGCTACGAATTCAACGCATTCCAGTCTGCCTCCACCAAGACTACTACAGGGCATCTGATTTGACAAGGTATATCAGTAGGACTTGGAAAAGTCACAGTAACAGTTAACAGTTTGCAAGATCACTAGCCATTACAACAAGTATCAGAACATCAAAACAAACCTCGTGTACAATCCACAATTTCACATTCAACCCATCGATCTACAAAATAGGTTCCCTTTCCCGCCAGCTGGACATGCATGCATGCATGCTCTCACCAGGCCGGGATCCCCCCCGGGAGTCGTCAAACGCCGGTACTTGGCGACTCCCTGGCTCTCACTTGTCAGCCAGCTCACACGTCTTGTCGTGCACGCGCAGACGTCCAGCACACACGCGTGTCGAAATGTGTTTTTTGCCGCGAAAGTCGGTAAAAATTAAGTGAGGGTCCCTTTAGTCCTTCGCGTAAGTTGTACCCTGCAGGCACGCTGGCACGGTGACCAGCTGACTAGTGTACGCAGGAGCACGTGACCGCTTGTTCAACCATGTTCGATTGGGAATAAAGGAGGAACCCTGCATCGCAGCCTTTTCGGACCAAAACCAGTCGACTCAGCGTCCAAAAGACTACAACATATGGGCCAATTGCGGTCATCCGTGCTTTTATAAGAACGAAATGGCGCTTTTAGTGACATTTTGCATACAAATCCCCATCTAGTAGGGCGCAGTCACCCAGTTTCGGTGGAAGTGCGCGAGTTCGATTGGGATTCAAGTAGGAAGGGAGCGTCTCAGCTTCCTCGGACCACGACCATTCGACTCAGCACCCCGAAGACTACAACTGGTGAAATTTTAATTTTTGCCTTAACTTCCCCTTTAACCCTTTACCGGCAGCCCCATACTTGAATGCGTCAACGTTGACGCATTCGACATGCATACAAAACCATGCCTGGCATGACGGGAAGCATCAGCCCACGGGGATTTCCCGTGGCCCCCACACAGCCAAGGTATGATCCTATCCGTAGCTGAAGAGATCCACGCGTGTCCCATTTGATTTCATTGAGAACTGCGCGATCGAAAACTTACGGAAATACACGCGCGCCGACAATGCCGTCCGCCTCCGTCAAAACATCGTCAGGTGCATTTTCTCTTGCGCAGTGAGTTCCTTTCGTCCTTGGATGACTTCTCCGACGAGGACCTAGCAGTCATTCGCTCTGGGACCGACGACAGATAGATAAATACTTCGTTCCAGCCGCCAATGCAAGCGAATTTCAAATTACGGAGCCTGGCGCACGCCAAGTAAATTCTCACGCAAATATGGGGAGCGCCAGCCGCTGAAGACGATGTCGTCGTGATGTACCTGGAAGAATCTGATGGTGCTTATTGGGGAAGCCATGGAGAGCGATCCCCGTGTCGACAGTCTCCCAGAGACGGAATTTAGGCCATCGACTTTCTACGTACCTGAGTGACGGCAGCGCAGCGCGGCGTGCGTGTGACCTTACGGAGCTTTCCGACAGCGATTCTGGGTCGATGCTGCTCTCATTTGCGAGCGAGGCATGGCCACTGAAGTTTGTGATGGCTATGGCGTTTGTTTCCGCTCCGAAGTCGACTTGTTTTGGCAGTATCATGTCAATGTCGGAACTCTGACGATTTGCATGTGTACAATTTCCGTGTTGAGACGTAGAGGTGCCAATTTAGCAGCGTATGTGTGTGGTATGAGAAAATAATTTTTTCCATGGTCAAGAAATAGCACTAGACTTCCAAGAAAACATAACTTGCACATACAAAATGTGGCCTCGTTGTGAGTTATTGGCATCCTTCTAAATGTTATGGATTTCATATACAAAAGTAACTTGCCGGTAAAGGGTTAACCCTTTCAGTGCCAAGGGGGTCAGAAAAATTCAAATTTTTCTGAGTTGAGCTGAACTCAAATTTTTCATAGCTCAGCTGTATATCCACGGATCTTTACAAACGATGGCTCTCTGGAAAGATATCATGGCCAGGCAGACAGCTGTGAAGAGAATATGCAGCGAAAATAGTCTTCCTCGCGAGGGCGCCTGAGCGAAGTCCGTTTTCTGCATTTTCGTAGCATCTGCACTTTCTCACGCGCACGATCGATCGCAGTGCAGTGAACTTTCAACGCACGGAATTCGGACAAAGTTGGCCTGAAAGCCGCTGAAAATCTCGATGTTTTGATACCCAATACGCATGGGTTGCCGCGAAAGAAATAGAGAAACCCGCGATGCGCATACGTCATGTTTTCTACGGGCGACAATTGTTTCTCCGAGCGCGCGCGCTTCAAGCTTCGCCCTGGCGATATCTATCCTCATGGACACAAAACGATGTGATGAGTCGATAGCCAAGGTCTTCCTGAACACGTAGAGTGGTCGTTTGTAACTCTCCTGTGTGTAGAAGTGGAGATACGAATTTATTTGTACACCCATACTCATTTTGGGCGACTAAAGTCGCCCGTGGCACTGAGAGGGTTAAGCCAGGGGCTAGGCTGGCTCACGCCTGGCATGAAAATGATAGATTGAGAACTAAAGAATCCATTCTTGATTTTCGTCGTTTTCTTGGGCACGTACGCGCGTGCACGTGACGTTGCGTGGGCGTAATGCCACGTGCATTATGCATGCATGCAGCAGTAAACACACGTCATCAGATATATGCAGACTGACTTCAAAATCGAAGCTCATCATTTTCGTTGCCGATGTTTCAGCTCATTCGTTTCTTGGAGAAATGTTTGTTGGGATTGGTATGAATGAGAACTATCTGCTCTCTTTGATTTACGTCTTCTGCCGTGTTCTCACATAGGCAGTTTCTCCTTCCCGCTGCTGTGGTGGAAAACATCGTCCTCGAAGAATAAGCTAACACCTGTTGGTCTAGTCGTAACTTTTAGGATGTCCGTCAAGTTATTTGCTGCCCTGCTTGCATGCTCGGTGTCTTTGGCATCATATGCTGACGCTTTGGCAGTTATGTCTGTAGATTTCGGGAGCGAGTATCTTAAAATTGCAATTGTGACGCCTGGTGCGCCAATGGAAATCGTGCTGAACAAAGAATCGAGACGGAAAACTGCTAACATTATCTCCCTCAGAGATGGAGAGAGGCAGATAGGAGATCCTGCTATGACGATCGCTGTTCGTTTCCCCCAGTATGCTTATCGGTACGTGCTTCACATCCTCGGTCAGAAATTTGAGAGTCCTGCGGTGGAAGTGTACAGAGCCCGCTTTCCCCATCACAAGCTTTTAAAAGATGAGGTGCGTGGCACAGCATGTTTGCAGTACAGTGACATGGAGACCTATTGTGTGGAAGAACTCATTGCAATGATGCTCAACAATTCCCGCGAGACGGCACAGAAGGGTGCTGAGCAGCCCGTGAAGGATATCGTCATTACCGTACCAGCGTTCTTTGGCCAGGCCGAGCGACGTGCAATGCTGTACTCTGCCAAGCTGGCTGGCCTGAATGTTCTGCAGTTGATCAATTCCAACGTGGGTGTCGCGCTCAACTACGGCCTCTTCCATCGTGACACGATCAACGAGACCGAGAGAACGCTGATGTTCTTTGACATGGGCGCGGCGAACACATTCGCCACTATCGTTTCCTACAAAACGGTGCGAGAACCCATGCATGGTATTATGGAGATGATTCCCTACTTGACAGTAAGAGGTGTCGGCTTTGATCGCAATCTCGGTGGCCTGGAAATGGACATGCGTCTGCGGGATCACCTTGCCGACAAGTTTGACGCGCAAAAGAAAGTCGCGGAGAGCGTGCGTTCATCTCCACGCGCCATGGCTAAGCTGCTGAAAGAGGCCAATCGCGTTAAGCAGGTTCTCAGTGCCAACACGGAGCACTCGGCGCAGATCGAGGGCCTGCTGCCTGATATTGACTTCCGCACCAAGGTGACACGCGGTGACTTTGAGCGGTTGTGTGCCGACGTGTTTGATCGTGTTCAGGCCCCGATTGAGCAGGCGCTGCGAGCAGCGGAGATGTCTGCATCGCAGCTGGAACAGGTGATCATTGTCGGCGGGGCGTCGCGCGTTCCCAGAGTGCAAAAGCTGGTCATGGATGCAGTGAAGATGTCTGAGCTTGGCAAGTCGGTGAACAGTGATGAAGCCGCTGCACTGGGTGCTTCATTTGCGGCCGGTGCCATGACCAAGGGCTTCCGCACCAAGAAATTTGGTGTGCGAGACCTCAACATCCATCCCGTAGATATATCCTATGATCGTGTGCTAGAAGATGGCTCAAGCAAGCACGTACAGCGGGTTCTATGCAGTCGCTACACAGTGATTCCGCAGAAGAAGATCATGACATTCAACAAGTTCCACGACGATTTCAGCTTCAGTCTAGATTATGGTGACTTATCCCACTTGGCCAGTAGCCACGTTCTACAGCTTGGATCGAGAAACTTGACCACTGTGACAGTTACTGGCCTAAAGAAACTTGTCGACACGCATGGTGTGGACAATTTTAAAAGCGTGAAGGCACATTTCAGCCTCGACGTGAGCGGCATATTGTTTGTGGAGAGAGTCGAGGCGCTGTTTACCCAGCCGCCGGAGAACGCTACGAAGCAGGCTGCAGACGACAGCGAGCCGGTTGTGAAACAACACGACCTTTCCTATAAGGTCACTCGTCGAGACATCTCGCCCATGCCTAAATCTAGCACTGCAGCGTCCAGTAAGCGTCTGCGTCGGCTCGCCGCTCTGGACGCGGAGAGAGAACGGATCGGTATGGCACGCAACACTCTTGAGACGCAAATCATCGACCTGCAGAGTGACATGCACTGTACGAAGGAAGGCGATGACTGTAGTCGCCTTTCTCAGAAAGTCTCTGACATGTCAGATTGGCTTTATGGCGAGGGCAGTAATGCTGATCTGGACACCCTACAGCAGAAGCTCAAGAAGTTAAAAAGAATTGCAAATAAGGCAAAGGCGAACAAATGATGTATGTGTTCACCACCGATTAGGCCTAGACGTTGTTTCAATTCACTTTCAAATTTCACGAATGCCGTGAAGAGACCATTGAATGAGGATTTCTCCGGATTTACAAACTTCATTTAAAAATCAATCGCCACTGTTTTAGTGGTCAATTCTGTCACGGATATGATCAAACTCTAGATCATTGTAGATCATTTTTGAATTCTTTTGGTGTTGATCGCCGCTATCTCCCACACCTTTCTGAGTATTGTAATTATTGTGTATGTCGGCATTGTCACATGCAGGTCATGCGGCAGTGATGTGACTATTGGAGAACTGTCCACTTGATGCTTTCCTCAAATAGCTGAGTATTTATTTTGTCTTGCCTGCCACCTCCCCTTCTTTAGGTGGTGTTCCGCGTTGAGTTCTCTCCTTATTTAAGTGTGTAATTTAAATCAATTTAGCTAGCATCCTCTCTTCAGTCCTGTTCTCTGATCATGATAATCGTGATTGCTCATCTGCTGGGTGTGTGTCACCATGTCAGTAGTGCTTTGACAGGTGTGTGTGTGTGTGTGTGTGTGTGTGTGTGTGTGTGTGTGTGTGTGTGTGTGTGTGTGTGTGTGTGTGTGTGTGTGTGTGTGTGTGTGTGTGTGTGTGTGTGTGGCACGTGTGTGGCACGTGTGTGGCACGTGTGTGGCACGTGTGTGGCACGTGTGTGGCACGTGTGTGGCACGTGTGTGGCACGTGTGTGGCACGTGTGTGGCACGTGTGTGGCACGTGTGTGGCACGTGTGTGGCACGTGTGTGGCACGTGTGCACGCAGTTTTCGTGTGGCACTTGTGCGCGCTGTTTTCATCGGCCACAGGATATTGCGAGGCACAAATGTAACGCTGTTCGCACGGCCCGCGCGCGCTGAGCCTGGCGTTCCCCGCCCGGTGTACAACACGTCTCCTGGTCTGCCCCTTATGGGCCACATAGCCAATCATGGCAGTGCAAGAAGGAAAAAAAGCCTACGACTTCATCAATCGTGAAAGTCTGTGGTTCGTTTTGGGAAGAGCTGGTGTCCCTGATAGACTCGTCTGCATCATTCAAGCTTTTCACGACAACATGAAGGAATCACTGGACTGCCGGGAGCTGACGTTGACCCGATTGATGTGAACAATGGTTTGCATCCAGGATGCTGCATGGCACCGGTCTTGTTCAATATTATACATGTGGGCCATGTTTCAGCAATGGTACAAGGCGATTGCAGACATTCCGGATATCGGGCTTCCTATGGCGACGAATGCTGGTGGTCGACTACTATTCCGCAGGTGACGTATGGACGTTGTCAAACGGCACAACGACTGCCAGTTTGCTGACGACTCTGCACTGGTTGCCACCTCCCATGAGGGTGCGCAACAGGCTCTGGCTGCGTTTGTGCATCATTGCTGGCGCATTTGGTCTGAAGGTGAATCTTGCGAAGACCAAGGTCATGCCGGTCGGCTACGGACCCACAGCACATGACCGCTAGCCTTTGATGGCAGCGGGTGACATTGTTGAGAGCGCTGTGGGAGCGGATGTCCGATGCCTCGGCATGGGCGATGAGGCCTGCCATCAATATGTGTTCACAAATACTTCACAGCCAGTACTTTGACTTGTCACCCACTACCTGTCGTGTGTAGTGCTTGGTTCTGAAACCAAAACTTGATGATTGGGAGTAAGACTCCTGCTTTTAAAGACTCTACTATGATAGCCTGGCGATTTATAATGGCGGCAGGACTCATTAATATTTCCTGAATATCTCCCGGCTTTGTACGCTTAGTACAGACCAAGAGAGTGAGAGACCATGTGACCAGCCACTCAGTCTGGCAGTTAGTGGGCGACAGGATCATGTGACTGTACTTGATTTCCCTGATCACCACCTTTGTTACCTGGTCAAAACAAGAATACCAATGTTTTATTGCTTTTGTGTTCAATTATTTATTTTGATTTGATTTCCCCAATCACTTTAGTTTGATGATATGCATGCTGACTTGCCCGTACAAGTGGCTTGTTCAATACTGATTACTGTACTCGATAGACAGGCTCAATGACCAGGGAGTCCTACGCATACACTGAACATGTACATATGTGGAGACTGGAGGGCTCCCGGCTCAATGATTTTCTTCCATGTGCGGCATGTTCCGGTACAATAGGACGGTGGACTCCTCCCACAACTTTTAAAATAGGAGCTCCATCTGCACCTTGATCGTTGAGAAGTTGAGGGTGATGGTGTTCCTGCCGGGATGCGGAAAACTCGGTCTAGCCGAGTCTCACGCGAACCATGACATTTTATTTCGGTTCCCTTCTCGCCTATTGAGTGTCTGTGTCATGACGAATGCAGATCACGTTGGTCAATTATCTTGTTTGTCTCTCTATCACTCTGTCTCTTTGTCGCTCTGTCTCTGTCTCTCTATCGCTCTGTCTTCCTGTCTCTCTGCCGCTCTGTCTGTCTGTCTGTCTGCCTGTATGTCTGTCTGCCTGTATGTCTGTCTGCCTGTATGTCTGTCTGCCTGTATGTCTGTCGTTCTGTCTCTCTCTCTCTCTCTCTCTCTCTCTCTCTCTCTCTCTCTCTCTCTCTCTCTCTCTCTCTCTCTCTCTCTCTCTCTCTCTCTCTCTCTCTCTCTCTCTCTCTCTCTCTCTCTCTCTCTCTCTCTCTCTCTCTCTCTCTCTCTCTCTCTCTCTCTCTCTCTCTCTCTCTCTCTCTCTCCCTCCCTCTCTCCCTCTCTCTCTCTCTCTCTCTCTCTCTCTCTCTCTCTCTCTCTCTCTCTCTCTCTCTCTCTCTCTCTCTCTCTCTCTCTCTCTCTCTCTCTCTCTCTCTCTCTCTCTCTCTCTCTCTCTCTCTCTCTCTCTCTCTCTCTCTCTCTCTCTCTCTCTCTCTCTCTCTCTCTCTCTCTCTCTCTCTCTCTCTCTCTCTCTCTCTCTCTCTCTCTCTCTCTCTCTCTCTCTCTCTCTCTCTCTCTCTCTCTCTCTCTCTCTCTCTCTCTCTCTCTCTCTCTCTCTCTCTCCTCCTCCTCCTCCTCCTCCTCCTCCTCCTCCTCCCCCTTCTCCACCAGTATTCGAGTGCTGTAGTCTGCTTGATGTCCCCTCGTACTCCAGGACCATGACACCTTCGTTCGCTTGCGGTTTCCTTGTGTCGTGGCCCTGTATAGATAGTGCATGTACTACCCACCGCTGCACACATTCGCTATCAGCCTGTTAACTACCTCTACCACAGCTTCTCATCAATGGCGTTATGTTCATTAGTGTGTTGCTCTTTCTTTTGATTATGATAAGCCAACCTCTGCTGTCGGAGTGTCGCCCGACCTAGACTACCCATTACCACAGAGCTGTCAGCCTGTTGCCTGTTCTGCTTTTCCGCTTGGTTGCTCTGATTCACCATTAGTATTACTAGCATGCTTCGGTGCTTTGATATGTTACTCTTTCAAGTCTTTGCTGAGTTTGGCACAGCTCGCTACTCTCGACCCTTCGAAGCTTCCCTTCGAAGCCGCTCGCATAGATTTCAGCTAGTACCGGTATATTAAAGGGGAAGTATACCCTAAAATCAAATTTTCACCAGTTGTAGTCTTCTGGGTGCTGAGTCGAATGGTCTTGGTCCGAGGAAGCTGCGACGCTCCCTTCCTACTTGAATCCCAATCGAACTCGCGCACTTCCACCGAAACTGGGTGACTGCGCCCTACTAGATGGGGATTTGTATGCAAAATGTCACTAAAAGCGCCATTTCGTTCTTATAAAAGCACGGATGACCGCGATTGGTCCATATGTTGTAGTCTTTTGGACGCTGAGTCGACTGGTTTTGGTCCGAAAAGGCTGCGATGCAGCGTTCCTCCTTTATTCCCAATCGAACATGGTTGAACAAGCGGTCACGTGCTCCTGCGTACACCAGTCAGCTGGTCACCGTGCCTGCAGGGTACAACTTACTAGCCTGTTTGACCTTTTTTGGGTGCAGTCCTGTCACTCGAGTTGAACTCGAGTTGAACCTTGGTGTGAAAGTTGTCGCCTGCTGGCGCGGTGACCAGGTGATTTGGGCACCCAGGAGCACGTGACCACTTCTTCAACCATGTTCGATTGGGAATAAAGGAGGAACGCTGCATCGCAGCCTTTTCGGACCAAAACCAGTCGACTCAGCGTCCAAAAGACTACAACATATGGGCCAATCGCGGTCATCCGTGCTTTTATAAGAACGAAATGGCGCTTTTAGTGACATTTTGCATACAAATCCCCATCTCGTAGGGCGCAGTCACCCAGTTTCGGTGGAAGTGCGCGAGTTCGATTGGGATTCAAGTAGGAAGGGAGCGTCGCAGCTTCCTCGGACCAAGACCATTCGACTCAGCACCCAGAAGACTACAACTGGTGAAAATTTGATTTTAGGGTATACTTCCCCTTTAACTGTAACGCTGACTTTGCTAGATATCGATTTTTTTTTTTTTTTTTTTTCGATAGTGAGGAAAATGTTATCAACTCCAAAGCACGAAAAAGGCCAAAAACTAAACCAAGAACATATGCAATAACATGTTATTTATAAAGACAGGACAAGTGAATAATTAGTCAGTCCATTGTTCATGATGATCTCCGCCAGTTACGTCGGCAAGCGAGCCTCCGCCACTGCCAAAGCAGCGTGGGCTCCGCAGGAGGGTGCAAATTTCAAACCAAAATTTAAACGCCTACAACCGCGAATGCACACGATACAGGATTTCAGAAGGCTGAAGGAAATCCTGCATCTAACAAATGCCATAACATGAGAGTAACGCTCACCCCTCTTCTCCGCCAACAGATGAGCAATTCGTTTGTACAGTGCTGTTGATGCCGGACCCATTCCGCCACTGGCTGACATGACCGCCGGAACAAAGGAGGCTTGCTCAACCTGCCTCACCCGCTCCTCATAGTGCCTTCTCTTTTCTTTTTCATGTCGCTGATACACAATAGTATGTGGTGCAGATCGATTTGAGCGTGAGTGAGGATTGAGCTAGATATCGATTAGGTTCTTGGAGATTCTCGTTAGTTGTCTTTAGCTTTCTTGAATAGACTTTGTTTATAGGAGTTCCGCTACCGGCTTGGCCGGCTTGACTTTCTAGTTTCCTACTTTTACTTTGTTCCTTTACTACTCGTATACCGGACCTGAGCCTGAGGGCTCCGCCACCCTGACTTTTCTCTGTGCTTTGGGTCCGAGGTACGCCTGGCCCTGAGTGGAACTACCAAGAGGCGCACACATACTTTGTGCAAACGGACTTGGGATAACTAACACGTCGTAGGGACGATCAGCCAGCCACGACACTTGTTATTGAGCACCTCGAACGATAGGACACTATTGCCGCGTCGGAAGTATAGCAAAACTCTATTGTGACTTTGGCATAAGGACGGAGTGCTGGTCTGTGTGCTTTCATGCAGTTGACAAGCTACCGGTATACCCTTCCTAAGTTCCTAGAAAAGAGGAAGAGTTCAAAAAATCGAACACACGTGTATTCCCCGCACTGCGAGTGCTAGGAACACCACAGGACCAACGTGATGATACTGGTTTCGTCAACGGAGGACCAGGAACTAACTTGAAGTGTACTGTAGTTACATGCAAAGAAGAGTAAGAAGGCTTCTGTTCAGTTTGTTGTTGTCCAGAAACTAGATACACAATGTGTCCGGCTGAGGCCGGGCTCACCAACTACTGAACTAGTAAGTAGTACGTAATACTGTAGTTCCTTTTAACAGTTATGTACATGAATTGATGTTATACTAGTAGCTAGCTGTCTGAGTCCGGAGACCGGACTAGTGCTGTGCATTCATCCCGGCGTCAATGCAATCTATCATTGCATTATCAATGCAATCTATCATTATCAATGCAATCCACGTTTTCGAAGATACATTCACGACTTCAAGTCCTAGTACTGTACTAGTGGAACATGTACTTCAAGTAATCAAATTGAATAGAACTTAGAAGTGAAGTAAGACTAGTCTTCAATAGTTTAATACTAGAGTCGAGAGGGGTACAGGTTTCCCTGACCCTGGTACAGCGTGACCATGTGCAGTCACCGTCTCTAGCTCTGGCCGCGATACTTCAGAGTTCAGTCTTCACTTGTAGTTGTACTGTTGTAGAATGTTCAAGAAAGCACATAGTCATAGGTAAGGGCCAGTGCCAGTAGTACAGCTACAGTGCCAGTGGCACTATAACTACAACTACAACTAGTAGAACTACATTATATCCCGCTAATTTATTAAATTATTTTAGTATTACATGACGAAGTAGTGGTTGCGACTTCGGCGATGATTTGTAAGAAAGGGTTTGCTAGGTGTGGGGAGCAAACCCTTTCTTACATGACACTGTATTTACTATTTTAGTAGGTGTTTAGCCGCTTCCGCACTGCAGCAGACTACACTTGCATCACGGATAGTAGAGTGATACTGTCATTACTGATAGGGGCTGGCCACGGTACTCGTAGGACTACTGTTGTAATGTACTATGTAGGGGACTGCCGCTGAGAGATGATAATCGAATCACTCTTGGCAGTCTTGCAGAACTAACTAAACTGTAAACATGATGCAAAGCGCGGTGACGACTGTTTTTGGCTGTTAGTCGGACACCAGTGCAGTGCATGCAGTAGATCTGTTCAGGCTGTATAATCATGTAGTTGCGGAACAGTAGATCTACTGACAGTCAGTCTGTCTGCGAGTGTGGCAGTGTCACTGTCAGACACCGACCGTCCGTGTGTCACCACGTCCGCCACCAGGTAACCTGGTTACCACTGCATGCAGAGTTTTGCAGTCTTTTAGTAATAGTTAGAACTTAGATGCTACCCGGGGGTACCCAAGCACCAGAGAATAGTAGGTCTACTGTCGACATGTCTGGTAGATCTACTTGCAATCATTATTGTAGTAACTGTTGTAGTCTGACACTGACTCGACTCGGATCGGAGCTAGCACTGTAGCAGCGGGGAGTCGTAACTCGTAGATGTACAAACTCTTCAGTGCTGTCCACAGTCACAGACCTCGCAACAACACCGTCGTAAGCTGACTGACGGTGAAGCCACTTGTGAACGCGTCGTCTACGCAGCTAGCTAGCTGCCTGGCTTGACGGTTGACCGTTCATGATCTTATTCCCTTCTTGCTGGTGAAAAGCGTTCCTGCCGCCGCTGCTATGCGGCGGTTCCCAATCAACATCATGTATCCGTCCTGGAAGCTGTACTTCATCACGCTACTTATGTGTGCGCTGCTGCTGGCTTTCGGTGTGGAGGTAGTGCTGCGTGTCTACCAAGTCGAGGGCCTACACGTTCATCAGGTGTTGAAACCGGTGAGTGCTCCGACAAGCACGCAGCTTCACTCTTGTTGTGCCGAGTACAGCTACAGTCTCTGTATCGGCTATAGTGCAGTGACCGGGTACAGGGTGTTAGGCTACATCGGATATCCAAAGCAAAATGCATTTTGCCAGTCGAAATATCATTGCGACATTAGAAGTTTAGAACCTATAGTCGGTTGCAGTGATACATGTACATTAGAAGTTTAGAACCTATAGTCGATTGTAGTGATACAATCATGTACATTAGAAGTTTAGAACCTATAGTCGGTTGTAGTGATACATGTACATTAGAAGTTTAGAACCTATAGTCGGTTGTAGTGATACAATCATGTACATTAGAAGTTATACCTATACTATAGAGTATAGGCGGTTGTAGTGATACATGTTGTGTATGGGATATTGCGATGGTTTACACTGTGCAAGAATCAGATTTTTTCAATACCGATTTTGAGGAGGCTTCTATTCAAGAGGGGCTTCTATTCAAGAGGGGCGTTTATTGTTTCATTCCATACCAGTATTCCACAGCAACTCGACCCTGAGTTGGTTCGCACACACTAAGTCGACCTGGACATACAGTCGACCTACCCTTATACAGGTAGACTCCCTTTAATTTGAACCTCAAATTGCCAGGCCCTAACTTCGAATTATCCGGAACTTCTAATTACCCAAATGCAGGCCCCATGCACTGACCTGTATGTCAAAATGCTTGAAATCGCATGCTGAATATTTTTTGCACACTTTTATTTGCATCAACGAAACATAGGTGGTCGTACCGGTCATGTACAACGGATCATCAAAACACTGGATCGACACAAAATCATTTGACATTATCTTCATCTTCTAGTGAAGAAGTTGTCAGTCACTGCAGCTTTCCTGAAACAATTTCAACGGAAAAGAACTGCGCTGCTAATCCGCGTCATGAAAGGCCGTCGGACACCAGCACGTCGTTCTGAAGAACGGAAGTAGAGCATAGGCATAGACAATATTTACAACAATAGTGTTGTTGTGCGCCAACATCTCCGCGCACGAGCTGGCGCGGCAAGAAAGGCCATCGAGATCCGCGAAGAGAGTCAGCCACCAGGAAGAAATTGTCTTCAATCAAACCTTTGCAATTTGCCTCGCACGGGCTTGAATCAAATTTCGAGAGAAGGTGGGTTTCTTGAACGCTATAGTCGATCCTGCAGCGGACCATCGATCGATTTTTGAGCTACTCTTGGCTAGAGAAGGAGAAAAGAATGAACTTCGAATTACAAGGATAGCAACTCAATCTCACTTCGAAATAAGCGTTCAAAGGACATAGCCAATTTACTGTAAACAGCTCTTCTGTACGAAGACTGGGTTCGAATTATCCAACCGACGCACTTTTCGTACTTCGAATTATGCATTCGATTTTGACTTGAAGTGACTTGCAGAAGATCGGTACGACGAAAAAGTACGAATTACACGGATTGTTTGAATTATACCGTATTCGAATTAGAGGGAGTCTACCTGTAACGATATTTGCGTCAGACCAAGAAATATTGTTATAAGGGGTCGTCCATAATTATCGAACTTTTTCACGAAACGAAATAATTTCGTTATGGGGTGGGAGGGGGTTGATCAATTTCGTTTCAGAAAAGTTCGATACATGTACATGGCCATAGGAGCAGTTACACACTTGCGGGTTTTGTTGTATATGCATTGTATATGTCAACACTTTTTACGTTCTGAGGGGGAGGGAGGGAGGGGTTGGGTCTAAACTAAAATAATTCGTTTGGTGAAAAAAGTTCGATATTTACGGACGGCCCCTAAGGGTAATATTGTTATAAGGGTAACTGGTTCATTTCATACACGTACGTCATAATGCATGGATTTTGTTCATTTTTTACACTCTTCATAGCATAAAAAACTGATATACATGCACATCATGTACACAGCAAGGTGCCCACTGGTGCCCCCATTGGATTTCGTCATGTCCCAGCGACTTATCAATTGAAGCTTGCCCTCCCTAGATAGTGGGCTCTACATTTTCCCTGCAAGATATTGTTATAAAATGGTGGAAGTGCGCAAGTTCGATTGGGAGTAAAGGAGGAAGGAAGCATCTCAGCTTCCTCGGACCAAGACCATTCGAATCAGCACCCCGAAGATTGCAGCTGGTGAAAATTAACAAAATTTGATTTTAAGGTATACTTCCCCTTTACGATCCGTAGAGTATTGATGAGCATGTGCAGTGCGTATGTATGAGTGTACCATCGTTACATATGTATTTTTGACCGAGTGCGAGGGCAATACTATCTGATATCTGCCCAAACGGCTCTAACTTTTGAAGTTTTTGGAGGAGAGCCCAAAATGCCACCTAAAACAATGTCTGATCGTACCGTCCTGAAACACTTTCCCACACCCGTGCACAATAAAAGCAGTTTCAAATGACTTCGGGTACATTCAAAAATCCTCTCGAAAAGGTTGGGAAGCTGTTATTATATCCTGTCTGCATTGTAGGAGATTCTCCAAAGCTCTCCAAGCTCTCCGAACTGCAAAGGTGGTTGAACGTGGAGATTCCCACGTCTTGGAATCAGCGCATCTGTACTACTCAGTAGTACTGAAAGCCATGTGTGGATCATGAGCGTCTTTTTTGCTACGGATTTATTTATACGCACAGTGCGTATTGCATTTGTGTCACTCAAGGCCGCGGCCCCTTTGGCACTTCACATGGGCAACAGATCTCCGATTTCTTCGAGACTCGTTCCTAAATTATTCCAGTTTTTTCGACTTCCAGGAAAAAATTCTCGAAGAAACTAGAGAAGATTAGAACGCATCCTAAGGCTCTCAGAAAAATTTATCAGCTTGGGAGTGAAAAGGGTATTAGTCCAGTGGAAAAATTGACTGTCACCACCAGGACTGGACCAGGTAAGTGGTAGAGCATCACCGACCTAGAGCGGATGCTCTACCACCAACTTCTACGGCGCCGTAGTAGTCATCGTCCAAGGAGAGACTGTTCAAAATGTTCTTCTGACATCGAAACCGGCTCCCCAGCTTCCTGAGGAGTTACACGGGCTGGTGGTACAGCCCTCACTGGGCTTAACGCACAAACTAGTGCGCACGGGAAGCCCCAATACGTCAAATATTCGTCAGTTTGAGGCACGTTACATTTGGTCGTCTGCTGGCTTGTATGACGTGTGTATACTGTTCATGCTCTCTATTCTAATGCAGGCTCTCGCTTATGTACGCTTCAACCAGCCTTGTTATCCTAGCAATCAGGCATTTCGCTTGAAAGAGCTCGTCCGTAACACTAAGAACTTTGCAGCGGTAAGTACTAAGTCGAGTGTAGTGTGTTGAGGTGCCTAACCGCTACTACAGAAATTTTCTCGCTATGAATTGCTAGATTGTTGCTGAGGCAGCGGAGCCTGCTGGCACAGCTCTCCCTATCACTCTGGCCATGTCTGTGTCTACACAGTACAGCTCTCTCTATCACCCTCACCCTGTCTGTGTCAACATGCTTTAGTACTGCTGTGGACTGGGGCTCTGAATCGAATGCACTTGGTCAGAGGAGGCTCTGAACAACTCGTTCCTCAAATTCCCATCTATTTCAGTACTTCAAGGATAAGTTACTACAGTCCATTCAGAAAAAGATGGGCTCTGGCTCTGGCGAGCTCCCGTATTTGGCGATTTTTCGTGATTTCATTGTACACAGTGCAGTGCTGCGAAATTTGAACTTTGAAAAAGAGTCCAAAAAGGGTACCTGAACTGGGGTTCGAACCACACAATGCACTGTTGCAGGCAGGGTCAAACGGCCTGGATTTTGATGGTTTTTTCCAATTCAATGCTTCTGGGGCAAAACCTGGCCGATATCCTATTCTTGTTATGGCTTGCTTTTTGGACAAATAGACTTCAGAAACATAATTGGAAGAGGATTCCATAGGGGATTGCAGAAAAAATTCTAAAAAAACTCAAAGTTTGACCCATTTATGGCCAAAAGCTAGAAGTCCATCTTTTTCTGAATGGACTGTAGTGGCGGCTCTACAGCATCGCACCTGGCAGGCGCACTTAAACAGCTGATTTTGAACCCATTAAATTGAGGAAGGTTTTGTTGCCGGGTCAATTGAATGTCAAGATCACAAGTCGTCTTCTGAAATGCTGCGTCCAAGGAGGCAATGATGCTCACCTCGCGAGAAATGTGAGTGCACGGCACACATGTGTGAAGTTGTGCATTTTTAGCTGATGAACTCGATACTCAGGATACTTCAGCCTTGTTGCGTTTAAGCACGCCAGCCAGGACAGCACTTGTGGTCGCTCTATGCAGGTCGGATCAAGTCCCTTCGTACAAAACAAGCCAGTTGCTTGTCGCGCAAAGCAGATGGTCATTTTTCCCAGTGCAGTTTCTATCCATAACTGCCTGTACATGGAAAACGGCCATTAAAATCAGGTGGTCACTGACAGCGAGGTCACTTAACCCTGGTGTACTGTGTGTGTTTTTCTTATCCCTGATATTGTGTTCTCATGGTTACCTGTCTGTGCTGATAGGTTGCAGATGAGGTTGGCCTGCGGTATTGGCTGGACTATGGCACCTTGTTGGCAGCACATCGCTCAGGTCGCATCATACCCTGGGATCACGATGCCGACATGGGGGCCATGCAGATTGAGTTTATGGCAAATTTTAACGAACTCAAGCGGCTGCTGGCCAAGCGTGGTGATGTCCTATACTATGGCGGTGCGTGCCGTTATTTCATTCGCCGGGCCGTTGTGCCAGAAGAAGCCCGTGGTGAGATCATTCGAGCCGAGGTCGTACTCCACGTACCCATTGTCAATTTGGGACAGGACAATGATCAGCTCATCACTCGTTGCGAAGTGCCAGATATATTCCGTTACACATTTCCTAGGCGATACATTGACACTATGACAACGGTAACATTTGAAGGAGTGGATATGACAGCACCGAATCCTGTCAAGGAGTTTCTTGCCGTATACCGCTACCCGAACTCCTACTGGCTTCCCGTACCGTACCGTATCAATTGCTATTTCGAATCTATGTATTATTTTTCGTTCTTGGTGCTGTTCGTGGCAGTACTCAGCGTTGTGGGCATTCTCTATTTCTGCGCCATGTTGCATTGCCTGGCACGCACTTTGCCCACTGTAAGGTCCGGGCGACTATGTTGTGTCCCCACAAATTTAGCAAGCATGTGATGTTGCCGGCAGCAGGATTGCCGATGTCCACGCTCTCCCGTCGTGGTGAGTACTGGCGGATGGTGTTTTTTTGTCACCGTGCAGGGCTGGTGGTCATGCCACGTTTCCACTGCATTTCGATGTATAGTCATGTACAGTGGAATCCCTTCATATCCCCGGATGCCCAGTAAACAGGTGTGTTCACTATCGAGTGGGCGACATCCATCAGCCAACCGACCCCTTGATCCTAGTCTTACCACATCAGACGGTCGAGTACGCACATGTGGAGTGAATTTCAATTTATATAGTTCCAAACTGGATACTTGAATCATCTTGCCTCTATTTCTTCAAAGGCTTTCTTGCCCATTACGCTTTGAGTTTATCTACCGAGTGAATACTTGAAACTTGAACTTGAACAAGATCACTTTTGTGGTGGTGGGGTGGGGGGGGGGGGACGAAGTATTTACCTACAAGTATGAAGAAATAGCATCACAAGCCGGTGGTGACCATTACAACTAGGTGGCAAAGTTAGCGAAGAATTATGAGACAAGGGGAGATGAAAAAAGGGAAGAAAGAAAGAGGAGGTGAGAAATGAGACGAGCTACAGGGACTGAATCGCCCACGGTACAAAGACGAACACCCAAGCCAGGCAAGGGCCGCAGCGCAGCAGCTACAAGTCGGTCGCTTGTGGAGTCGAGCCAAGATCGGTAAGTGAAAAAGCTGAAGTAACGTTAGTTGGCTCACTTTTCTGGAATGGGGTTGAGCCAACATTGGATCAGTGGTTGGAGGTGTAAAATTAGTACTTGGTGCTGTAAAATTAGTACTTGGATCTCACACACACATTTCTTACCATTTATTTATTTAAATAATCTACGTGGAGATAAAAGTTTAATAATAGCTATGAAAAGTATGAATGCCGCAGACATCACCACGCAACATGACAATTTGTTCAAGGTTTGGTTTTGTGTGTTTCCAAAATCGATTTTCAAGCTCCGATCATCAGTGGAAATACGGAACTAAAGTGATCAAGGGAAAAACAAAGGTTAAAAATCCAAAGAAGTGTGACACATGACGGGTAACTTGTGGTAAGTATTACAAAAAGTGAGAACTAAGATAAAGAGTAAGTGTGACAAATGGGCATGAACAGTGCAGAAACAACTCATGAACACGGGGTGCAACCTCACGAAAATAACCTAAGTGCTAAAACATGTTCCTTTTGCTTACACAAATCGGGCTTATGCGTACGAATACAAACAGCTTCAAGGACCTTCAACTGCTGGACATAACGGGCACGACACAGTACAGAGAAGTGGAAATCATCATACACACTCAAACAATCGGGACGAGATAACAAATGCAAGTACACAGCTGACTTCTTACGAATTTCACCCTCATCAGCTCCATCACCTTCCCTGCCACCTAACTCCTCCTCGTCCGTTTTATCACCACCAGCCGTCTCATCGTCATCCGCCTCGTCGTCATCCGCCGCCTCGTCATCACCCGCCTCGTCGTCATCTGTATCCTCGCCGTCATCCGCCTCGTCGTCATCTGTATCCTCGTCATCCGCCGCATCATCACCCAACTCATATTCACCACCAGTCAGTCGTCTGATACCATCCATGTTCTCCTTCCTACGTCTGTCCCGTGCCACTGTCCTTACCTCATCTACGTCCCGAGATTGTGTTCCGTTTTGCTTCTGGTTTCTGGTCTCCTTCGATGCTCCGCGTGGGCCTTGGCCATTCCTAGCATATATTTCGGTTGAATAATTGGCGGTCGACCTCCGTGGTCTCTGGACCCACGGATCAAGCGCCGGAGGGTGCTGCGGTGTCCGCACAGCCGGATACTGTGTCAAAGAAATGGGATCAATTTCTGTGATTGGCGGTACTGTCGTTGTTGCCGACTCCACCCCAACCCCAGCCACCAACGGCACTGGTGGTGGCTCCGGTGGCGGCAAGGGCAACGGTGGAGAAGGCACATTCGGTTGGCTTAGTGATCCACCACTCTTCCTCTGCACCGTGTGTTCGACTTGCTCTGATTGTGTCGGTGGTAGAGGGAGCGGGTTCTTGCGTGGTCTTCCCCGCTTCGGGCGCTTCGCTTTTGCTGCGTCCGGCAGCATGTGAAGTGGTACATGCTGCTTGATACGTGCGCTCAGGTGTTGAAGGGTCCTATCAACGTACCGGCTATCACAATTCCGGCACTCAAATTGGTAGACCAAGTGGCTCAATAGGTGGGATGGTAGGACATCCTTCCTCACCGTGAACGCACGTATCGTAGTGAACACAGGGATGAAGTGCGCCGCAAAGTATGTTTGTGTAACTAACGTTTTGATTGTGCGGCACAATGTCTGTGATGCCTCTCCTTTCCAAGGTAAGGAAAGGTAGACTGGGCAACGACTTGGACCTATGATGACGACCTTTGGTTTTGATGCTGATTTTAGTAGCTTGTTTAGCAGTTCCTCCGGTGATGATCGGAGCTTGAAAATCGATTTTGGAAACACACAAAACCAAACCTTGAACAAATTGTCATGTTGCGTGGTGATGTCTGCGGCATTCATACTTTTCATAGCTATTATTTATTTATTTTATTTATTTATTACAGCATATCATAGCACAGTGAGAACACCGGCCAATACAAAGAGAGAGGGTGTTAGCCAACCACGGCAAGGCAGGGAGAAGGGGAGGAGAAGAAAAAGGAACCATAAAGAATAAGAAGTGTACTGAAGGGTTAGAACTATAGGGTAGGAGAGGGGAACTGTATGACAGACCTATCTCCTGGTAAGAGTCATTATCTCACAGAGTCATTATCTCACACGTTCCCCTAGTGCATTAGTTTTACAACGGTGTCATCTGTATTCGTTTGAGCAACGAGTTAAAAAAAATATTTGAAACTATACGTTTTGGTCTATCGCTGCTTGTCATCAATTACTAGCCCCCTCCTTCAGTCACTGTTTCTCCTGCGTTCAGTTGGCCCGCACACAAATGCTCGTACTCGTGGCCAGGATACAGCTGCCTTAGTATTACCTACTGTACATATTGGGTATGGACTGCGCTCAGTTTCTTTTCTGGCGGCAGGTCGGTGGAACACTCTTCCTCCAAACTGTCGTCAGGCACAATCTGCTGGTACTTTTGCTCACCTCACAAAGATTCACCTAGGGTTCCCTCTAACAAGGCCATGCCTGTTGGGACTCCCCTAGTCAAATAATAAATACTACTACACGTACTACTACTACTAGTACATGTAGTATAGGGGGGAGGGGGAGACTTGGGAGAGAGGCCCGAAGGGCCGATCGAGAAAGTCGATTTTGGCTCACCGCCAGGTGAGCCAGAACCCCCTCCCCCTATACTACTAGCGCCCAAATAAGAAATTGCACTAAAGCCATATCGGGTGTTAGCGGGGGGCAGAACAAGAGCAGCAGAGACTTGGCCACGGGTGGTGGCTGCAGTGCGAGCACCATGGGCGCGCAAGGTAAAGCGGTCTCGCAGAAGAGGACTAGCAAGTCCATTCAGGCAGCGGTAAACAAATACATAGGTTTTAGATAGCCTCAATTGAAGTATTATTCGTTCTCGTTTTGCTTCTTTGAATGTTGCTGAACAGTTTTCCTCTCCATGCTCTGCTAAATCGTTGCCTGTACGCGCCACGTCTGGCGCCTTGTTCCTACGCTAACACTTAGCACCTTATTCGTCATCACGCGCTCTTCTTATCTACATGTATGTGCTGAGTAAGTGTTGGTGTAGAGGCAAGGTGTTAGATGTGGCCGCCGCTCTTGCTATATACTTGTAGTTCATTGGAGCGTAGGCACAGTTGTTGTTTTTCCAGAGTTCTGCTTGTGCCATGCTGGTATTTTTCTGAATGGTCATCGAAGTAAATCTGAGTATGGTTCAAGACAGTTAGTTGCCTTTCGAGAGTATCTCTGGGTTTATGAGCCACACTCCTTTTTAGTACTGTAGTATGATTTTACGAAAGGCTCAAGAGCTGCGGTTGTTTTTTCTTGCTGCCACAACTAGCCCTTTGGCCTTGGCGGCTAGGCTTTCCCCAAATCGGCCCGTTTTTTCGCCTATTCGGCTTTTCGCCTAGCTCAAAAATACATCAGGTTCGGCTGCAAAATCAGCTGATTGTTGGAAAATCGGCTGCAAAATTGGAATATATTGGAAAATCGGCTAAAAGAATTGTTGGCACATTGGCTTCAAAGTTGGTGAGATATTGGAAATACAGCTCTGCTAGATGGAACTAGCCACAACTGTACGTTGTAGTGTAGTATTTTACCAGTGACGGTCTTCCTACTGGCTAATGTTTGTTGGAGAGAAGGTCAAAGGACACGAGTCACACAACCTCAACGCACTATACTGTAGTACTACCGGTACAAGTAGGCATGGGCGGGTAATGCTAGCATTATGGCTGGCATTATAGTCCCTTTTTTCCAGGTGGCATAATGCTGGCATTATAACCATTTCGCATGCAAAATTGGCATTACAAGCTGCCATTACAAGCTGCCACAACAGATGTTGTAATAAATATACAATTATTGTATATTTATTACAACATCTCAAGACTCGGTGGAAACACCGGCCAATGTTAAAGAGAGTGGGTGATTGCCAACCACGGCGATAAATAAAAGTAAGGGGAGGGAAAAAGAAAGAGTAGCAAAATGAACAGCAACAACTCCGTAAAGAAAGAGAAAGATAATGTCAAATAAAAACAGTGAAAAACACAGAGACGCAAAGGACATGTGGATAATGAGCTATGCATGTCGTAGTAAATAAGGGGCGGCACGGATCTTAAACAGGCGGAGTGAGGTCAGGTCCTTAAAGGGGAAGTGCATCGATTTTTCAAGTAGGGCTCAGATGAAAGACAATTGGATATCGGTTCCGATGGTATATCTCTCGCTTGCGTACGGCAAGGGAAACTTGCCATATCGCCGATTTCCTGATCCCGTTTCCATGGCGACTACAGGTGATGACGCACATTCTGCTTAGCTCCGTGAGAGAGAAGGTCGATCACTGCAGAATTGTGTCATTTTCAGTTGTTTTCTTGTATTCACGAAGTGAAAGAAGTACTGTGTTCAATGCTGTTAGTGCCGTGAACTGTTTATTAGTAGTCCTCTCCGTTGTGCACTGGGACGTGACACCGACAGGGGAAAGCTGGAGTGCGGAGACGTTAGCTGGCAAGCGAAAATCGTGACGAACCAAGTGCTGAAATCTTGGTTGGGACAAATCAAACGTTCAGCATTTACCTCAACCAAGGACCATGCCGTTTGCTCTTTCCACTTCCTGAAGATGGATGCGCTGCCTGCTGGAGACTCTCCTATCTCTCGTAACATCTTCTGAAGCCAGGTGAGACGACGAGTAGCGGAGATTAGCGAACGAAATAATGTCGTATGTTTTGAAA